AAGCTCAATCGCATCACAGGATTGAGAGCGTTGATGACACTGTATGCCGCGTCTGCTTTCATGATCCGAAAGGATGAGCGATTATCGAAAATGACTAACTAGCTGTCCGTCTGACAAACGAATCGATCAACTAACTGATTGCCTGGTTGATTCATTGATCGATTGACGGAGTGACTGATCAGCAATTCCCTTGAGCAAAGAATTTTTCCCCGCTGTGACTCGGTGCGACCACCTTAATACGGTTATCAGACCATTGCCCTGGAAAAAATCGCGTTAGCATGTTGCTTTTGCGTAGACATACAGTCATGCTGTGCTGTTGACCCGCCTGACAATGAGCACTAAATGGAAGTTCAAATCTAATTTAAAGTTTAAATTTATGAAATTTGGTTTGTTTGTCGTAGGTGGGAGGGGGAATCATGGAAATAGCTGTTAAACCATATGAATCGATGTAGTTTCATAACCTGTACAAAATCGAACCTAAAAATCTTCCTTTTAAAACAAGGAAATGATCAGCATCGATACGTTGTGTTTAATAATCCCTTCATGACATTGCAGAACTGGTTCCTATCAAATAACCGATTTTTATAATTGAAGGTGCCCACTGCTTCGACGAAGGGAATTTTTCACTGACTATATATATGCTTTTGCCACTCTGCGAATAATTGAACCATGTCAGTTTTTTACCTCTGATCAACTCAGATGCCTCCGTCAATTATCAGACATGTTTTTTTCTTAATACAGTATGAATGGCACGCCGTGCTGTTAGAGACTATTCAGTTATAAAAGTAGATGTTTCTAGTTCATACAGCAAAACAGACTGAAGGCACTTGAGCACAGATCTTGCTGATCACTGCTGCTCTCTTTGCAATCTAGATTTTTGAAGACAAAGCGAGTATTCTGCTTAAGTCCTGTACACATGTGCCATCTTACTAGATGACGGCCCTGTGGAATTAAAGAGCGAAAATTTCCAATGTAGGTTTCCTGTTGCGATGAAGATTCTATCTCTCAACGGCTCAGTGGTCAATCATCACTTAGAAGTAGGAATTCACGGCCATCGTGTAAACGATTTCTATTCATGTTTAGTATACTACTAGCAACTCGAGTCAACAACACCATCAACTGGCACCTCTGTCGCCATCCAAACCATAGACAATTCAGAGTATGTATCTGCTTAACTTGTAGTTGGCTCTGTTATACTGTTCTTGGGCTGTTCGAGCCAAAGTAGATGCACTATCCATCTCTTTCCATATGTCAAGGAAACATTATGTTGCGTCCTTTAATGGTTCACCCATGATACTGAGCCGGCAGTTACTTTTATTTTGCCGTGCATCAACCGAGAACCGCAGAATGGAGTCAGTGCCGCATGCCGGGCAGGTGAAAAATGTTAATAGCAATGCATTCATTGACTACTGCACTCGACTTCACTTACTTATTACTGTTTCTTTGGGCGTTCTTAGTCGGTTAACGATACGATGGCCGAAGGGATCGATAAACCAATTTAGGTCTTCGGAGTCAATGTGTGCTAAAACCGGACACTCTGACTATCAGCCGTTATTGACGAAGAACCGAAAGTAATTTTAGTCTTCCACAAGAACATTGTGATGTTTTTTCCGCAGTGCCGTCTACCCTCCGAAAGGAGACGAGCTTAATCGAAGAACACGATAGTGCTTGATGGATGATATATGGGAATGAGAAAGGAGAAAAGCGTCCTTCGTGCCACTCTCATAGTCAAAACTATAGAATCCAGTACAAAAACTTGTACATTCATGTCCAAGTCATCCTCTGAGGCCAGGATGGCACTTTTAATTTTCCATAATAAGCTAATCAATTTTCAATTTATGGCAGCTAGTTAATTACATGTTACAAGATGATTATGGCGTGGACCTCTCTGCCATTCCTTTCGTTAAGCGCTATATTATCCTACATTTGCGTTGGCATTGTAGAGATACACAAGAAACGCTGGCCGTCATTGATCGAATAGACGCCAGTACCGACAAGCTCTCTGATGAACAAATTGCAAAGGTTTTTGGGTGGGAGGAAGATTACCTGCTTGGAAAACTATCGCCTTGGCAGCGACTTAAACCAAAAGTATGGTCGTTGGTCGATGAACCTTGGTCATCCATATACGCTAAGGTACTGTATCTATGATTCGCAGTCTCTCAGAACTGTTGTTTTTTATTAAGGTGATATCGGTGGTGGCCGTGTTTTTCATTTGCCTTTCCATATTTTCGTTCTGTATCAAAACTCATCCCGGCTTCCAGGTACCTGTAATGCGAAGCGTATACAAAAATAGTTCGTCTACGTCGACGGACGCGGCGCACGACGGCACACAGGTGGAAGTGATCAGCATTTATAACCAGAATGTTTTCTTCTACGTCGAACTCATCAGCAACATCTGGTTCACGGCAGAGTTCCTGATTCGCTTCACGTTCTGTCCCAACAAAGGACGGTTCATCAAGACGCCGATCAACGTCATTGACCTCATCGCCACCGTGTCGTTTTACATCGACATTCTGGTCGATACCGTATCGCCTGGCGCTAAGCCGGACACGATCGAACTCTTGAGCATCATTCGTATCATGCGCCTCTTCAAACTGACCCAACATTCCTCTGG